TGAAAATTCAAAAGCGCAGGCATTGGAAGATTGAAAGTTGCTGTATTCAAGCTTGAACCTCAATCTTTGACATCTCGTGTACTGGGAAGCATAAAAACTCACAATATATAGGTACAATGAGGTTAATGACTATTCTCGGTTGATTCCGTTGCACGCTGAACCCGATTTCAATAGACTCCAGGTAGAAATCCTTCATTTCGCTTAAGTGAGCAGATTTAATTTGAACGTTTTTTCCACGATAGCAGGATTTGAATTCGCAAACCTGTAGTATTTTCCAATGTCCGTCACATTCTTATATGATGTATAATTTGTAATTTTATGACCCGATCGATATGCGGTTTCGGACACCGTCATGAATTCCTTTGAGTTTGCGTCATCTATAAATGATTCATTAAACATGAATTACAATGAGATATGAAAATTGACTACGTCAGGAAGAAACATAGTAATATCAGAATCGTGCTGCCGCCAGGGTCAATTGTCCGTTGGTGCAAGTAGCAGCAAGGTGGGTAGTGTTTGATCCACGAGGTAGGAAGGAGTCGTAAGCCGGTGAAAGCAGTGGAAATCGTGGCGATGTCGACCTCAAAATGCATCAGCGCACTACGAACGCGGCGCACGTCATGGCAGGGAATTTTAGTGCAAAGCGGTCAAAGGGGTCCGCAAAAGAAATCATTCGAGAGGCATTCCGATGTTATTACAATAAACTGCATTGCAGGAAATTACCTAACGAATGAACTTCTCGAAGAAAAAAGGAAATTGCTACAAAAGAATCTTTTCTTGGAGGAATGAACTTCCACAGCCGCCTGAGAGAATTTTTTAAAAACCCATACCCTCCTAAGACACTCACGTTTTCTCACCAAATCGGTGTGAAGATAGTTCAGTCAACCTCAAAGACTTGCGCTTTCAAAAGTGGTCTGAAAACTGCCCACAAAGTCCTAAAGGAACTAATTTTCGAATCGGTAATTTGTAGTAATCGTCTGAAGGATGAAGACTCGCGGTTTCAGTGAACTGTTCACTCTCCTCCCCCTTTCTCAACCTCAGAAATAGGTCCCAACGTAACAAGTTTAGTAGTATTTGGGAAGCTTCGAATTTTGAGGTTCGTCATGCTGTCTTCAGCTTTTCAACTCGCATGTTCACGGAAAAAGTACGAACGTGCTCATTTTTACCTAATGATTGCTTGAAAAATTATGACTCTTCACCTGGAAAGTAATTTGGATCTGAATCTTCCTACTATTCGCACATACTTGAACTTGAATTAAGTTATGACCCTTCAAAAGAGGAAATGCGAAATTCTTGAAATTTTATTTTTCCTCTATAAATGAAACGTTATGAATTCTTCAAGACATAGGTATTAGCTACTAGAAAGCTGGATTCTTGTAGATGCTAAATCTACCTTTGAAAATTCCTGAATTCAAACTAGGAAATATTCGGTTTGGATACAGTGGATGTATGCCCTTGGCGTCATCTCCTGGTGTTTGATTGGTAAACGCGCTCCCAGCGTCAAAGCTTGTTGCGTGGGTTCCGGCGCATCCGAAACGCTATCAGTATTAGACCTATGGACTTTTCGAACTCGGTCCTTTGAGCTGCGTTGATGCCCTCGTCCGCGCTTTCCTGCCTAAACAGTGTCTCGTGACTGCTAAGATCTCAGACACTCGAACTTTTGCCATATTGTAATTGGCTCACTTACTGCAGAGTTCTTCTCCTTTCGTTTAGCCTTGAGGCTCTTGCTTTCCTCATTGGGATTTGCAGTCGAGCCCAGTCAGTCAACCACTCGTTACGCACAGTCCGACGAGGGGTCGTATTTGGCCGACAAAAAAAGCAAACGTCCGCAATAGATAGGTGAGGGGCATAACTTTCGTGCGCTTCTCCAACTACTATTAACCAAAAACTAGTGCATGACGCACTTCAGAGCAGAAGAGTCTACTGCAGGATTGTCCATAGTTGACTGTTCACGTATACAAATATGCTCTCGG